GACCTACCTACCCTATTTTTTGAAAGTATGTAACCTTAAACAGACATATATTTTTTTTTGGCCTTAGCTAATGCCCCTTTAACGTTGTTTTTCATTAAAAAAATTACAATTTACATAGAATTGAGCCTTCAATCAAGAACACGGTATACTATGACACGGGTTATGTTCTTCTCATATATGTTATGATGGTATGATACTAAACCCCTAACGGGAAGGATTGTGCCTGATAATCATATGATGAAGACATAATCTTTCAATCAGTTTAATTGAAGTCTGGAGCTGGCATGTCAGTTAACTGCTAGTAGTCTGTTGTTATTTATGTATTATTGTCATTTTGTTAATTTTCTTTGGTTACATCTTCTGACATCAGACTCGGACTTCTCTTGAACTGAATTTTAATGTGCGTATTGTTATGCGTTTACTTTTCTACATTGGCTAGAGGTATAGGGGGAGGGTTGAGATCTCATAAACATGTTTAACCCCGCCGCATTTTTGCGCCTGTCCCAAGTCAGGAGCCTCTAGCCTTTGTTAGTCTTGTATTATTTTTAATTTTAGTTTCTTGTGTACAATTTGGAGTTTAGTATGGCGTTCATTATCACTAAACTAGTATATATATTTGTTAAGGGGCCAGCTGAAGGACGCCTCCGGGTGCGGGAATTTCTCGCTGCATTGAAGACCTGTTGGTGACCTTCTGCTGTTGTCTGTTCTATGGTCGGGTTGTTGTCTCTTTGACACATTCCCCATTTCCATTCTCAATTTTATAATTGAAGAAACTGTTCAACAACAACACCAATTGACAAAACTGTTTAACAACAACACCAATACACCAGTTTCACATTTACGGTAACAGTGCATGTCTAACCTAATTAGCCAATCTATGAAATCATGCGATAATCCCAGAGAATTCATCGACTGGGGGCTTACGGTTGATAAGCGGTGACCATGCAGACCTGGAAAATAATCACCTGATTAAGTGTTTGCGTTTACATGTACATGCAACATTAGGAGCATTTGAATCAAAATATGTATTGACGAGACAACTGTTTTAACAATGTCACATTAAAAGATTTTAACACGGTCTACTGTTGTGTTTTTGATAGCAGTAACAGACGATCTGATATGCCGCCCAACTTTGTACCTTTAATTGTCCGAAGAAATGCTTGGATTCACGCTGAAGTCGTTCACGTAGCAGCAAGAATACATTAGATAAATAAGCGGGGGTCACTTCATATCCATATATTAGGTAATAAATTAAGACGTCAATAAACACCTTAGCCATCTGGAATCATAGTTTTACCTTGTACAATTTCACCAGGTGACAATAGATAAAAACGTACTACCCTTTTCTACATACAGTTACTAAAGAGGGGACGACCATTTGATATTCTGACGGAAGCTAGAAGTATTTATTCAGATTGAATATTTGTCTTCATCTGTTGCTTGCTAACTGAGATTAGTATACTGTCAATATTGATTGTCCCAGTTGCTACAGATTCTTTTTTTTTTTTTGCTGCACGAAAATTTATTTAACTTATGCACACAACTATTTCCTGCATTTTGTGTTGCAGATTATTCTTTTTCATCCTGCCTTGGGCAAAATTATTTATTTTCAGCTCTGACTAGTCAGGATCTTCATTTCTAAAATAACTGTCTCTTTTTAAATCATTGGGTTTTTTTTTAAATCAATTTGAAATGTTATTACTTGTATCCCTTTTTTTTATAAAATTTTGGACACAAATTATGCTGAGATATGCAATATATATAGAATTTGAAAAAGTTGAAAATATGTAGATAATTACTCTGGATGTTGGCACTGAACCACTGCCTAGACAAGGTCGATCATGAACATAGCCTAGAAATTAAAATGGTATTTAATGCATTGTTTAAAAGTCTGATGTTTGAAAATTGAAGATAAACCTGAATTTCATTGTCAAGACCGTCTAAAAAATATACTGATACAGAAATATTTGAAACAAATGCACATGTCTATACCAATTTACAGGAAAGTGTTCTAAATATGTTATATGACATGTATGCTTTAGCAAAATAAAACGCATGGTGACCCCATCTTTTCTCTTGGTATTCTGAAAGCATTTCATAAGAGCTATCTTCTCACATTTTATTTTAAAATTCTATCATTTAGTTTACTTTCAAATATTCATATAATGATACTCTTTCTCTGTATAATCCATACACAATGTTTCATATTTTCACAGCCGGTAGCTTGAAAACAAGCTTGGTGACCTATCATTGACTTGTATTTTTATATTTTTGCACATATCATAATATATACTATATCTTTGGAAAGTATATTAGGAAAAATTCTATTATTTTTAGTTTATAATTCCATACTACATGTATCTTAGGTGGAAATTTTGTTTATTTAATAGCTACATTCTTAAAGATTAAAAGTTCGAGTCTATGGTATACTACACCTAATTGTAGGCAGTAACCCTTATATGTTACAAGAAGATGTAAAAAATATTTGAGAAAAACTGTGAATTGTTAACGGTAACTCACACAGAGCGAATTGATACAGGAACGGAACTGATATTAAATGTATTTCTGATGTATAGGTTGTTTTCTTTTTAACACAGTGGCGGATCCAGAAATTTTCATAAGTGGGGGCCCACTGACTGCCTAAGAAGGGGCCTGCTCCGGTCATGCTTCAGTGATTCCCTATATAATCAACCAAATTTTTCCCAGAAAAGGGTGGGCCCCTCTAAATCCGCCTCTGTAACAAAATATCTTTCTCTTTTCACAAATAATCAAACTGATACAAATGTAAGCAAAAGATAGCAACTGCAAGATTTATTCTTTTGTTTTAAAAACAATTTCATTTATAAATACAACTGTTATGAACTCTTTACAACAACATGAAAACTTATTTTCTCGTTTGAATTGTTTTGTGTCGGGACCTTTTATAGCTTGCTATTCAGTATGGATTTTTCTCATTGTTGGGGCAAGGATCCGGAAATTTTTTCACACAATATCGGACATTTTCAGATGACTTAAAAGTTGTTGCCTTTATTTCAAATTGTCGATATCACACTAGAGTAGATATTCATAGCATCAACGAACTTGTATTGTCTGTTTCATCGTATTTACTTCGTGAATTTTCTTCCCATTTTTCTAAAAACAGTTTATGGAAGGCAACAGTTTAAAATTGAAATGATTTTAATGACTCAAAAAGGTTATTTCTCAGACATCACTAATGTTCATGGTTTCCTTCGATTTTGAAGACGAAATTAAAACCAGAAGTTTTGCGACAATACTAAAGTACGAGTAATTACAGATTCATTTCCGAGATTCGTTTTGTTTATCAAATTGACAGGAAATCACCGGCTTTTTATTTTATTACCTTTGAAAGTGTTTGAATATAACAGATAATAGTTGCACTCGTTTAATTTAGCATGAAAAAATTTTGCATTTTACTATTAAGTGTCTAATCTGGAGAAGACAATTTCACGCATGCGTATTACATAGTAAATAAAGCACATGTGTTACTCGTGAAAAATTACTTTTTTCTACGTAAATTTAATTAAGTTTGAATTTTTAAATCAGAATAATTGAAGTCTTTGCTGAATAGAAATTAATAATGAATACAGTTGTCATGGAATTTTAATTTCCTTATGATATATTAGTTCTGAGCTTGTGATCAATGTCAGGTGTGAATTAAAAACACAGGTAAAAAGTGATTAGCGATCATTAGCCAATATTTCCCGGAGGCATTAATATAGTTATTAGGAGGGCCCTCAGGATTATCAAACTATACTGGAGTGGAAGTTCTATTACAGGAAAGGGATTTTAAAACAAAAACAAGTGCAAAATGGCGATTAAGAAACCCGATCTCAATAAAATGACCAAAATCATTTCTGTAAAAAAATAAAATTTGTCCTAAATCCCAATTTTTCGTTTAGGACAAATAGCTTTCAGTTTAGGCCATGACTGGCAAATATGACCATTTCCAGACCTTTGTTTTGGGGCCATTTGATGACCTATGGTTGCTTTCATCTATGTCATTTTTGTCTCTGGTGAATAGTTTTCTCATTTGCAATCATATCACATTTTCTTATTTTAAATTTAGGTTATTCTGATTTCTTTTCTCAATAAGATTTTGAATATTCATATTCTGTATAAAATTCATACTATTTTTTTTAATATATAAAATAAATGATTATTAATAACTTAAACATGTTAAAATTAAATAATCTGGGACCAATATATAAATTTATTCGTCCCAATGAAATACAGTTGCATGTGTTAATATACAATTGTTTAATGTCAGGAATTGCCAAAAATATAACAGCTATTATATCTATGACGTCAGTGACATCTTCTCAAATAGCTACGTTTGCTATCATCTTTTTACCTGCCTCCAGCACACACGAAGAGAGAGAGATGTGTTTTATCGGTTGATTTATTATTGTGTTGCCAAATGTTAGGGTCAATCGGATAACCCCGTCACGTATGATATCGTTAATTATCGCGGGCAGTTTTAAACAAAAAACGTGCATATGATTTGGAGACCAGGGTTGATTAGTCGCTTATGTGAAACTGGTCTATTGACGAAACTGTTCAACAACACACCCAATTAACGAAACTGTTCAATAACAACACCGTTCATCATTAGTATGCCTTCAATGGGCGGATTTATTGGACAACATTGTACAGTCATGGTTTAATTTAAGCCATAATTTAAGGTGATGTACAGAAAAGGACATTGCTATTCAATTTGTCTATCTTATTTTTGATTATGACAAATGATAGATAATACGCGAAAAAATAGATTATTCCCTTAAAAGATCACAGGCAGTTGATTCTATTCATGGGAAAATCCACTATCAAACGTAAATTATTTACGTTGATAGTGCCATTAGTGGATCTTCCCATGGGCATGGATAGAAACAAGTGCCTGTGTAAAAGGTAGCTAAATTTTTCTGTAAATATAATATGGCACACATCTCTACCGTCTTTAAATTGACACTCAAATCGGTCACCTGTCTGATAGTAAATCCTCTTACGTTCTTCTTAATTTTCGAAAGCTGGGTCAAATTTCAACTGGAAATTTATGGACTAAAAGTCTATACAGAACGGGGAAACACGCATCAATTCCGGAAATGGTAGCATATAAAACTTATTTCAAACTATCAAGGTTAAACATTTCAGAGTATCATGGATGGCAATATTCAACTGGAATAGCTTTGCAATATTGCTGAATATCTTCAAAATGGCCTTACGAATATTCATATGAAGTGAGGCGAAATGAAGGGACGAGTTACCAGGGACGAATTAGTACCCATAATTCAGTGTAAACATGTCAGCTCTCAGGACCCACACATGTATTTTGAGAACATTTATTCGTCTTCAGTCACATAAAACATATTCACGCACGTTTTGTGCAAAATTTAATGGAGAAAATGCTGTTTTGAAATGGACGAAACGAAACTCGTATCCTGTCATAACAAATATACCTTGTGTTTGTTGTTATTCCAAACAGACGAGTTCTGTGACTGATGATTTTTTGGAGAAAGCTGCGCCTTTCGATGCTCCTACAGATGCCGAAGAAACGAATAAAAAAAGAGATGAGGATAAAAAGGAAAAAGAATCAAAATGGAAAGGACAGAAAAATGCTTGGAAAATAGGATTAATATCTCTTGGAGCAACAGCCTTACTTATTGGTGGCCCCTTTGTTTATTTAAGGGGTAATATTGCATCATAAACCCAAATTGGGTTTACTTTACCATTTAAGTCCATATACTCTTATATAAAATATTTTATAAGGGAAAATAAGTATACCTTGCCATGTTTTCTACCTGTAGGCCATAAGCGATTGTATATTCTGTGTTGTCTTACTGTAAAGGTCAAGAACACTACCTTTATATATATACACTGATATACAGTCGTGTAACACCTGTATAAGAAGATTAACAATGAAATTGCTATACCTACCTACTATGCTGTGTAATTGTACCAGCTTTAAAATTCATCACCTATAGTTGTTTTAAGGTTCATGAAAAGAAATTGACAAATACATTTAGTGTTTTATCTATACATGTAACTGAATAAGGGCATGGTAATTTTTTTACAAACAGGGCACTTTGCGCGTCGACTATACCAAATAGGGCACATGAATAAAATAGTAATTTACACATATTCAGGGCTCACACTACTTCAGAATCATAGGAAGAAGTGACTTCTCTTTTTGAAACTGATAGGGAGAAGTGGTGAGATTTGAAAGAGAAGAGCTTGTTCGCTCGAGGCCCTACAATGTTTGGTTTTTACTATAATAAAAAGGGCCATATGTACAAGTATCTTATTTTTTTATACTGTTCAATTCATACCTGGGGATACAATTAAAGTAACAGTTCAAATTCAAAGTTGTTTAAGTTTATCATATTTAGTTGCACAATTATATTAGTCCTCTTATCAGAAACTACCAACTAAATATCTAGCACTAATAAAAAAGAACTTTATTTTATATCAAAAAGGAAACGAAAGTTGTTATATCAATTAAAATTCAATAGAAAAAACTACTCTGTTGTCATGTTTATGAAATTCAGTGTTTCTCATTAAAAAGATATATAAATTTAACAAAGTTAAGCTGGGACATAATATAATGATATTAGTAAAATAGTCCTAGAGTTGAGCAACTTATATAAATAAATTGAAACAATGCATATACATGTACATGGAAATATAGACATTAATCAAGTAGATATAACCAAATGTATGTTAATGGGTGTGGAATGCGTAATTTTTACTTTTGGGATCAATATTCTTCTGTCAGCTGTGCCATTCATGCGTCCGTAGTCACTATCGTAAGAATCTGGATTTCGTTCATAGCTGGTCCGTTTCCGATGAATCCAGATTCCGATCCGTAGTTCGTACAAATATTTCAATGGCGGAGGAAGAAAATTTACAAAAATAAACAATGTTTGGTATGCAATTTGGAAAGGAATATGATGTTTTTAATGCAATAAATGGATTACAAATTTACTTCAGGCAACTTTCATCACCTTCTAATGAAGTAACAAACTTATTTTGCAGAAAGTTAGAATGATTTGATGTACGCTCTCAAGTCTCTCGGAAGTGATAAAAATTGTCTTCATGAAATAACATGCAACCAACTTTAGTCAATGCTTCATTGTGGTTGTCGCCCTTCGATCAGCGAAAAACCCAATACCTCGACCCGATCTTGATCCAGGGCACATGACTTCAAATTTTTCGGAAGATAAAGGGCATGGCGTCAGGAAAAAAGGGCATGGCGTCGAGCCATGCTTAATTGCTTTAGATAAAACACTATACATTGTATGACTAGTTTACACAACAAAATTCTCAGAGTACTGACAAACTGGTGCATCTAGGAAAGTTTAAAGCATGGCTGAACCTGGATATTTAAAAGTTATATGCATTTTATGTTTAAGAAAATTAAAAAACATACTTTGATTTTGATCATAGCTGTCAACTGACCCGTATTCTGCAGGTTATACCCGAGAGATTCCCCCTTCACACAGGATTTTTTCAATACCTGCCGGATATTCAAATAACCCGGGATTTTAGAAAATGACCTGGTTAACCCGTATTTCTGACTGGTATTGTTTCCGGTATTTAGAAGTCAAATATACTTTCAGTTTTCTCAGCGTTTTTCGTTTGATAAGGTAAACTATTGAAATTAGAATTTGCTTATTTACCGTGCCAATGACAGCTATCAAAACATTACATTTGAAATTGATTGAAAAGTAACAATTCGAGGTTTGTTCGTTAATTATAACCCAGAAAGTTGAAGGCAGTCAAGCTTGACATACTATTCTATGTCCTGATTAAAAGATTTTGCCGTTTGCAAATATCAAATATCCTGGAAAAATCATTTGAAAACAATTTGAACCTTTTGATACAGTTCTGTTGGAGAGAATAATTACTTAAATGTAAAGGGCTCTAGATATTACACTGATATGACTGAAAGAAAACACACTAACCTCTTTCTATTTATCTTCCTCCTGTGTATAGGAGCACATTTGCTATAATTGATTTCTAATTACATGTATAGCTGGGGTTTATGACATAATTAATAAAAAGAAGTAAACTAGTGTGAATAAAACAATAAAAGGGCATTGCTTTAGAAAGATATTTAATTAATGATAAATATTTATATACTTAACAAATACAAAAGTGATTATTTTAAGGAAACTCAGTGGTACATGTATCAGTTGTACATGTTATAGTATATAAAAAAAAACCTCTCAATACTAAAATTGGACTGAAAAAGTTCGTACACATTATGACCTGACATTTTCTTCTTCAATGCAGGTCATGACCTGCATTTTCAGTTTCAGAGGTTGACCGGTATGATTTTGATGTGCATTGTTTTTCAAGTCTACAAAAGATGATATAATAAACAAACACCTGAGTTTCACTTGATAATATGCCAGGCTAATCAGTTTCACAGATGTAAATCACCTATAGTTGTCTAGATATCTGTTTTGGATACACAGATTTCCTGAAAACTCATAAAAACTTTAAAAGAACCAGTGGTTGATAGATATTACCTTAAAACTCCATTTTAAGTGGTATAATATTCTGTTATTGAAAATAAAGACAATAAATTAGAGATACATGTATACAATGTAAGTCATTTTTATACGACCGCAAATATATTAGTATGACTTTGGCGTCGTCGTCGTCCGAAGACACATTAGTTTTCGCACTCTTACTTTAGTTTAAGTGAATGGATCTCTATGAAATTTTACCATAAGGTTCAATACCACAAAAGGAAGGTGGGGATTGATTTTGGGGGTTATGGTACCAACAGTTAAGGAATTAGGGGCCAAAAATAAGCATTTTTGTAACTTCCAGACATAACTTGTGTGTTAGTGTATGGGTCTCTCTGACATTGTACCACAAGGTTCCATATCTTAAAGGGAATGCTGGGATTGATTTTTGGGGTAATTGCCTCCAAATTTTAGGAATTAGGGGCCAATAAGGGGCAAAAAACAAGCATTTTTCTAGTTTCATGACAATAACTTGTGTGTAAGTGTATGGATCTCTCTGACATTGTACCACAAGGTTTACTATTACAAAGGGAATGCTGGGATTGATTTTGGGGGTAATTACTTCATAATTTTAGTAATTAGGGGCCAAAAAGGGGCAAAAAATAAGCATTTTTCAAGTTTCATGACAATAACTTGTGTGTAAGTGTATGGATCTTTATGAAATTGTACTACAAGGTTCCATATCACAAAGGGAAAACTGGAATTGAGGGTAATTGCCCAAAACGTTTAGGAATATGGGGCCAAAAATAAGCATTTTTCTAGTTTCCAGACAATAACTTGTGTTCAAGTGTATGGATCTCTCTGAAATTGTACTGCAAGGTACCATACCACAAAGGGGAGGCTGGGATTGATTTTGGGGGTAATTCCCTCAAAATTTTAGGAATTAGGGGCCATACATGTAGAAGGGCCAAAAAACAAGCATTTTTCTAGTTTCAGGACAATAACTTTTGTGTAAGTGTATGCATCTTTATGAAATTGTACTGCAAGGTTCCATATCACAAAAGGAAAGCTGGGTTTGAGTTTGGGGGTAATTGCCCTAAACATTTAGGAATTTGGGACCAAAAAGGGGCCATAAAAACAAGCATTTTTCTAGTTTCCAGACAATAACTTGTGTTCAAGTGTATGGATCTCTCTGAAATTGTACTGCAAGGTACCATCCCACAAAGGGAAGGCTGGGATTGAGTTCCGGGGTGATGAATCATAAGGGGGTTCAAAAAATTTGGGGGGGGATTTTTTTTTTCCTTTTTTTTCTTTAAAATTTTCCATTTTAAATTGGTTATTTCTGATTTATATATAAAAGCAAATAATAATGATATGGTTTGAATAGGTAAATTAAAATTTTTTAAGTTCTTAGACCACATTCATTCTGTGTCAGAAACCTATGCTGAGTCAAATATTTAATTACAATCCAAACTCAGTGCTGTATCAAGCTTGAATGTTGTGTCCATACTTGCCCCAACTGTTCAGGGTTCGACCTCTGCGGTCGTATCAAGCTGCACCCCAATAGAACTACAATTTAACTTCGGGAATTCGATTTGTGTGTTTTGTATGCAGGTTAATTGTAGAACAATATGGTGGACGAAATTATTGATAACTCTTTCTAAATAAAAGTATAACAGTGCTGAAGGATTAGATTCTTTAACATTTGAAAATTGAAGTCAAATTCTTCAGAACCTCAACTTTCTCTTTGTTTTTTTAGGAGCACCTGTCCTGGATCCAGGAGGGAAAGAGGTAAAACATCAGTATTTATAATTATCCGGATAAAGAATACTTCTGTGTAGACAAAGTATTACATACATGTACATACATTTTTCAAAAAAGAACGATATAAATATTTACCACACTATTGTTGTACAAATGTTAATATTCTTAAATTTTAAAAATGTATACACTACAGGCAATATTGTCTTACTAGAAAAATTGTGTAGATTTATAAACTATATATCAGTGAAAGTCTGTCCTCCTGGTTAAATTACATTTATTTATGTATATTTCACACATGCATCATATGTTGTATTTTTTATATTTTCATCTCTGTAACTATGTTATTTAGTTAATGAGAATAAAGATCTATCTATCTATGTAACATTGGGGCATGCCAGCCTCTAGTGGTGGAAATATTTTTCTTATAACTTTCCTGAATGAGAGATTTTGTCTGATTGTAAGAAATAATCAGTCTGCCTCAACCAGTAATTTCTTGACAGTCAAAAAATACTAAGATCTAGATTTAAACTAAGATGATGAGTAGCAAGGCTCCTGACTGGCATATTGGTGTGTGGCATGTTTAGACTAGATTTGATTGGTGTGTGGCATGTTTAGACTAGATTTGATTGGTGTGTGGCATGTTTAGACTAGATTTGATTGGTGTGTGGCATGTTTAGACTAGATTTGATTGGTGTGTGGCATGTTTAGACTAGATTTGATTGGTGTGTGGCATGTTTAGACTAGATTTGATTGGTGTGTGGCATGTTTAGACTAGATTTGTTAGGTGTGTGGCATGTTTAGACTAGATTTGTTTGGTGTGTGGCATGTTTAGACTAGATTTGATTGGTGTGTGGCATGTTTAGACTAGATTTGTTTGGTGTGTGGCATGTTTAGACTAGATTTGTTAGGACTTCCCTGTTCTTCCCTAATCAGTGAAATAAAAAAAGTTACATAAAAACACCTTTAGTTCAAAATAAATTGTAATACAGAAAACTAAAATTAGACAGCTTCCTGGGATAATTCAGGAAAAGCCATATATAAAGATAACAAAAAAGAATACTTATGTAGTATAAATTCTGTATGCACTGCAAGAGTGCAAGTATTTATTTGACTAAACTTGCATCAACTAAAAAAAGTGCAAATAATGTATTTTTTGTAAATGTTTAGCAGAATAGTAATAGCAAAAAATAAAATGCTGGTTTTTTATAATTGTGATATACATGTATTCTATCAAATTTTCTCATTGATAAGAGCATCACATTAATTTTTGAAGAGATAGGTCAATTTCCCATGAATCATGAAATAATGTCACATGAGGAATATTATCAAAAAGTCTTTCAATCTAATCTAAAGTTCATATTAATACAACTTTATGTGTGTACTTTGAGGTTCAACAACATAATGGCTTAGTTCTAAAAATATAACAAAACCAGAAATGCCTAAACATGCTAAAGATGGTGCAAAACTTAATTTTGATTGATTTTGGCAAATTTAGCATATTGCTCCCAAAAATGGACATTCTTAATTAAAATCAAAATTCTATCTCAAGTAAAATTAGATATCGTCTTTCATGTAAATACATATCATTTTATTTTGGTAAGAGATGTCTTGATAAAAAAATTTCCGAAAACATGCAAAATAGGCAAATCTGTCTTCTCCAGCAATAATAAGGTAGATGGTAAGGGTAAATTAAGATTGGGATTTTTATATGGCTGTCTAAGATGGGATGTATTATGGTATAGCAATGTACATCCCTCCTTTAGACAACACTTTGTATAATAATTCAAATTTTCTTTAACCAATTCTCATGTAAAACAACATTAGCTCCCTTTCCATTTTGACTCTATTGTTCCAGAGTTATAGAACTTCAACCGTTTGAATTAAGACGGTATTTTACATGTTGGGCACTAACTCCAGTATGCCTGGATTGAATCCTTAAAAGTAGACATTATTGTTGGGACTGATAAAAGGAAGCTCCCTTTCTATTTTTCTAGTTTGTCCTTCCAGGGTTAAGGGACTTTAATTGTCAGATTTAGGTAAATTTTTTACAAGTTGTGTTTGCTTGGATTGATTTACTGGAAACCTTACATAATTGTTGGAATTAGTGAACCTAACACAACATGCGTTTAAAAAAAATCCTATATGTCATTCCAGAGTTATTGGACTTTGACCATCAGATAAATAAAAGGCATTTTTTAAATGTCATGTTCTAGCTCTAGTATGCTTGGAACAAATTACTACTAAAACCCAAATTTGTGTGATAGAAAGAAAACTAAACGATACAATTTTAAGATAGAATATTGGAAGATAGTTCTTAGAATGTGCTTATAGAATATCAGAAGAAAAATTGGTGTCACTGGACTTGTTTTCTAGCAGGAAAAAAAACGTGTTATTCATAACACATTCCTTTATTAAAGTCACATAATCTTAGCTATCTCTGCTTATATGGCTAAGTTGGAAAAAATTGAATCAAAGAAAAAATATACTATATTTGTAAAAAAAAAAGTTCTAAAAATATGATAAATATGATTTTTGTCGAGCCTTCGACTTTAGTCGAAAAAGCGAGACATAGCGATCCTACATTCCGTCGGCGTTGTCATCGGCGGCGTCCACAAATATTCACTCTGTGGTTAAAGTTTTTGAAATTTTAATAACTTTCTTAAACTATCCTGGATTTCTACCAAACTTGGACAGAAGCTTGTTTATGATCATAAGATAGTATCCAGAAGTAAATTTTGTAAAAAAAAAAATCCATTTTTTCCTTATTTTACTTTTAAATGGACTTAGATTTTCTGCCAGGAAACAACACATTCACTCTGTGGTTAAAGTTTTTAAAATTTTAATAACTTTCTTATACTATTTTGGATTTGTACCAAACTTGGACAGAAGCTTGTTTATGATCAAAAGCTAGTATCTAGAAGGAAATTTTGTAAAAAAATAAATCCATTTTTTCAGTATTTTACTTTTAAATGGACTTAGATTTTCTGCCAGGAAACAACACATTCACTCTGTGGATAAAGTTTTTAAAATTTCATAACTTTCTTATACTATTTTGGATTTGTACCAAACTTGGACAGAAGCTTGTTTATGGTCAAATGCTAGTATCTAGAAGGAAATTTTTTTTTTCTTCCAGTTAACATTACATTCAGTCTGCAGTTAAAGTTTTTAAACATTTATTAGATTCATAAACTATCCTGGATTTTTACCAAACTTGGACAGAAGCTTCTTACAATCAAAAGATAGTATCAAGAGGAATATTTTTATTGATTTACTTCCTCATTTTTGTTGAGCCTATGATTAACAGAAAAAGTAGGCGAGACACTGGGTTCCGCGGAACCCTTACGAATTTTCTGTTTATTTGTTGATGTGTAATTTTATTCACATAAAATTAAATTGATAAAAAAAATGCTTACGTACTCTTTTATTAGATTTATATTACTGACATCAGTTTCTATTCTTTTTTCAGATTGAAGATGAGTTTTCTCAATGTAAGTACCCTTTGTTTGTATACATTGATTTTTTTCTTTGCAGACTTTCACAAAAAGAACTAAAACCAAAATTACTGGTAAATTCTAGTCTGATCATTAGTCCTCTCTCTCCTTCCACTTGATAGAAATATTTCCCAGATGACAAACATTAATAAAGTTGAATACATTTGTAAGATGTTCTAGCAACACAACTTGTCAATAGAGAAACAAAGTTGAACTCATTTGTAAGATGTGCTAGCAACATAACTTGTTAATTGAGAATATATGGCTTTATTTTAGCAACAAACTTTTTTAACCTTTAAAAAAAAAGAATGTGAAAATACCATTTTCTTATGGGGAGGAAGAATAGGTTATTTTAAAACAATACAGAATTATTTAGCTTTATTTTCATGTGTTTTTTTTTCAGTACCATTAGTAATAGCTTATTTGAAGAGATCTTGGGTTGAATTAAATAAAGAAAAACAGGTAAATGTTTTTATTTATTTATTTTTGATTAGTTGGATACATCTATTATGTAGGTTTTATATTTCATGTTTTAACCTATATAATTGAAATATTCATACTTCTTAAACATCTACTATTATTTCATAACCTAATAATTAACCATTGTAAACTTTTGTGGTGGTGAAGATGACAAGGTTTTTCAAATGAGATTGATGCAAGCTGTTTTGAATTAGATGGATGCGGTAATTGATTAAACTTTTTGATTAAAGAAACACTAATATCCCTCTGTCTGTTGATCATTGTAAGTTCTCATTGGATTGTACGGTAGTAGGGGTTATTATGTTTTCTGGACTGTGCCTCCATAACTCAATATTTAGATTGGTGATTTTAAATTTCATACAAAATATACAAGGTATGTAGAGTAAAGCTAAATTTATCTGGCAGGTCTATTGTAGTCACAGTATCTTTAATAATAAATTTGCTAATTATCTAACTATAATCCAATCTATAGCTTTTCATTGACTTTAAAGGGGCATTAGCTGTTAAATTCATGTTCATCGATTTGACTCAAATTCTCATATTTGATTTATAACATACTAAAACGTATATCCAAATTACAAAAAGTGTAAAATAAACAATTAACAATGCATGGACTCATAATATGGATCAACATTTCATGTGTATTTTTGTCTAAACATCATCTAATTAACCAACAAGATGACCTCCGAAGACTGATGACAGTCACATAACCCAATATAAACATAAATATAAATATAAATAGATCTTGACCACGTGCAATTAGATTTTTCTAGGTCAGTATGTTTATCATCGTTTTTACCTGTATAACAATGATTATTTTGTGGATCTAATCAGTCAACCAAATGGTTCATCCTTGTTTCACTTTCAATGTCGACATTCTTTTCCTTTTAATAGCTGAATACATGTGTAATCCATCTCCAGCTAAGAGGTTAAATTTAAGGTCACATGAATATGGATTCAATGAGGTCGAATTATTCACTTACAAGTGAATAATTCACCAGCGATGTTTCTTTGCTTATTTTGACAAAATTGAACCAAATTGGCTGCTAAAAATGAATTTATGTTTCACTATTTCACTTTCATAAATGATTCAACAAAAAAAAAATCATATTTTAATTTTTATGCCCCAGCCGTAGCGGCTTGGGCATTAAGTTTTACCCTTGTCCGTCTGTACGTACGTCCGTCCGTACGTACGTCCCAAAGTTGGTTTCCATTCTCTAACTTTAGTTTGCCTCAACCGAATGTTATGAAACTTACACACAATGCTTATTACCACTAAATACAGATCAAGTTTGAATTTTGGTGGTGTCACTTTTACTGTTCTAGAGTTATGCCCCTTTACAAATGGAAAAATTGCTAAATTTTTCGTTTCCGTTCTCTAACTTAAGTTTGCCTCAACCAAATTTAATGAAACTTACACACAATGCTTATTACCATTAAATACAGATCAAATTTGAATTTTGGTGGCGTCACTTTTTACCGTTCTAGAGTTATGCTCCTTTACAAATGGAAAAATTGCTAAATGTTTTGTTTCCGTTCTCTAACTTCAGTTTGCCTCAACCAAATGTTATGAAACTTATACACAATGCTTATTACCACAATATACAGATCAAGTTTGAATTTTGGTGCTGTCACTTTTACTGTTCTAGAGTTATGCCCTTTACAAATGGAAAAATTGCTAAATTTTTCATATTTTTTCTGAAAGTATCAATCAAGTAATTATTTTTAAAATTGGAGTTATCTTCCTTTGTCCATGATTATAGTTGAATCAACTACAATGCAATGTTTAATTTTGCCTTCAATTAATAAATTATTTATAGTGAATATAGCATCTACTGCATGAAGAAGTAACTTGCTGATAATTTATTTATAGTGAATATAGCATCTTCCGCATGAAGAATTAATTTGATAGAATTTAATACAGTACTAGTTGTGTATTGATTCCTACACTTTTTCAAATACTATATACAAAGGGAGGGAATTCAATTTCTTTTTAGTAATCTAAAGTGGAGGTTAAATCAGGTTTTTCTGCAAACCAATATCCCTAAGCCAATAGCTTGTTTCAAAATTAGTTAAGACTTGTACATGTTGTAAAAGCATTTTTTAAATGGAAAAAAAATGCAAAATTTTTAGTTTCTGTTCTCTCTCTTACCATTCTTGAGTTATGTCCCTTTATAAACATAACAATTGCTGAATTTTTTGTTTCCATTCTCTAACTTTAGTTTGTCTCAACCAAATGTTATAAAACATATACACAACTGTTCTAGAGTTATTCGTGTTTACAAATAGAAAAATTGCTGAATTTTTAGTTTCTGTTCTCTACTTAAGTTAGCCTCAACCAAATGGTATGAGACTTACACACAATGCTTATTACCACAAAACTCAGATCAAGTTCAAATTTGGGTAGCACCACTTTTACCATTCTTCAGTTATGTCCCTTTACAACTATATGATATGCAAGCGGGGGCATCATCTGTGTCCACATGTGGACACAATCCACATTTATTTTGATTTCTCGTATCTAATGCCCCTTTAAATATTTCATTAATATTTGCTCAACTAGCTAACACTACATCTAATAATTCATATTTTTTTTCCACCAGGCAATAATTGAACCTTCCAGAGAAAAACTTTTACCTGATCCTGTACAGTACCCCTATTATCAACCACCATATACTGTTGTCATGGAGATGAATGATGTATTAGTTCACCCTGATTGGACTGTAAGTATTTTAAAATTTATCACAGCAAACACAATAAATTGCTTCGCCAAGCGCAGCTGGATACGACCGCAGAGGTCCAACCCTGAACAGTTGGGACAAAAGTGGACACAATATTCACGCTTGATACAGGTCTGAATTTGGATTGTAATTAAATATTTGACACAGAATAACTGTAGTCAAAGAACTTAGAATTGGTTATATGATTTGAATTTATATTCAATTTTTTTTGTGCAATACACTATGCTGTTGCAAATTGACCACCCCCCCCCCTCCAAAAAAAACAAAACAATTTTTATCCCCCCCCCCCCCCCCCCCCTTTTGCAAAAAAAAAAAATATTTGTAGAAACTTTTTAAATTCTGAAATAAGAAAAAAATTGTCCCCCCCTCACAATTTCTTTTTTTAACCCCCCCCCCCCCCCCCACCCCCCCCCCCCCCTTTTTCCAAAAAAAAATTCTTTCCCTGATGATATGGTCATATTCTCAATTCAAATTTCCAATGGAGTTTGCAAACATAATTACCCATTTAAATACATCATAAAAGTCTTAAAATAGAAAATGACATACATAATCATGGCTAAAATTTATATTCCTTAATCAGCATTTTTATACGCCAGTTTACGGGACGTATTATGGTATAACCTTGTCCGTCTGTCCATCGTCAACATGTCGGACATTAGCTCAAATATGCTTTAACCAATTTGCATAAAACTTTGGTGAATTGTTTATAACTATTGAGGTGAGCTCCCTTTTGTTTTTTTTTGAAATTTAGATTTTACATTTCTGAGTTATGGGGTTTTATTCATTAAAAAAAGGGTGATTTTCCAGTTTTTGGACAATAAGTCAAGAATGCTTTCACCAACTTGCAAGAAATTGTGGTGAATTGTTTATATCTATTGACATGAGCTCCCTTTCGATTTTTATAAATTTTATAGATTTTACGTTTCCGAGTTACAGAGTTTTATTCATAAAAAAAGGGGGGATTTTCCAGTTTTTGGACTAAAACTCTAAAATGCTTTCAGCAATTCTTATGAAACTTTGGTGAATTGTTTGTATGTATTGATGTAAGCTCCCTTTAGAATTTTATAAATTTTACATTTTACATTTCGGAGTTATGGGTTTTTATTCATTAAAAAAAGGGGTGATTTTCCAGTTTTCAGACAATAACTCAAAAATGCTGTCACCAATTCTCATGAAACTTTGGTGAATTGTTAATATCTATTGATGTAAGCTCCCTTTTTATTTTCATAAATTTCTAATATGACATTGAGAATTAATTGAACTTTATTTGTTTATAGTCTGACAACAGATTTACTTAGTATTGCACAACAGCCAGAAATCTTTAGTTGAAAATAAATTCAATTCATATAACCAATTTCAAGTTCTTTGACTACATTTATTCAGAAACCTATAATATGTCAAATATTTAATTACAATCCAAATTCAGACCTGAATCAAGCTTGAATATTGTGTTCATTTTTGCCCCAACTGTTCAGGGTTGGACCTCTGCGGGCATATCTAGCTACGCTCAGCGAAGCAGTTTATTAATAGTACCTTCTAAAAATAAGTAAATTGACAGCTAATCACCTCAAGACAATACAACATTTCTTTATACATAATTTAAAAGCAGTGTAAGGGAGGTAATCCAAACATAACATTGTACTTTTTTTAATTGTCCATTAACCAGGAAATCCTTGTTTTTCCCCCTATTTTGCCCCTAATTCCTAAACGGTTTGAGCCATAACCCCCCAAAGCCAATCCTAACCATCCCTTTGTGGTATGGAAACTTGTGGTATAATTTCAGAGAGATCCATACACCGTTCCACAAGTTATTGTCTGGAAACTAGAAAAATGCTTATTTGGGCCCTTTTTTGGCCCCTAATTCCTAAACTGTTAGGACTATAACCCCACAATCAATCCCAACATTCTTTTTGTGGTTATAAACTTTGTGTTTAAATGTCATAGATTTCCATTTACATTTACTAAAGTTATTGTACGGAAACCAAATGTCTTCGGACAAAGCTGTCGACAACGACGTGATACCAATATACGACCGCAAAATAAAAATCATTACTGTATTATTACGCTGGAATTCAGCAGTGTGATATCACAGGTTATTTAAGTGGTTTTTTATGCCCCCGTCGTAGCCGAGGGGGCATTAAGTTTTACCCTTGTCTGTCTGTACGTACATACGTATGTCTGTCCGTACGTCCCAAAATTGGTTTCCATTCTCTAACTTGAGTTTGCCTCAACCAAATGTTATGAAACTTATACACAATGCTAATTACCACAAAACACAGATCAAGTTTGAAATTTGGTGGCGTCACTTTAACCGTTCTAAAGTTATGCCCCTTTATAAATGGAAAATTGCAAAATTTTTAGTTTCCGTTCTCTAACTTTAGTTTGCCTCAACCAAATTTTATGAAACTTATACACGATGCTAATTACCACAAAATACAGGTCAAGTTCGAATTTTAGTAGAGTCACTCTTAACTGTTCTAGAGTTATGCCCCTTTAGAAAAATTACGAAATTTTTAGTTTCCGTTCTCTAACTTAAGTTTGCCTCAACCAAATGTTATGAAATTTATACACAATGCTTATTACTACAAAACACAGATCAAGTTTGAATTTTGGTGACGTCACTTAAACAGTTCTAGAGTTATGCCCCTATAGAAATGGAAAAATTGCAAAATGTTTAGTTTCCGTTCTCTAACTTAAGTTTGCCTCAACCAAACTTTATGAAACCTTTACACAATATTCATTACCACAAAAATCAGATCAAGTACAAATTTGGGTAGCTCACTTTTATCGTTCTTGAGTTATGTCTCTTTATAATGTTATATGCAAGCGGGGGCATCATCTGTGTCCATGGGGACACGTTCTCCATTTATTTTTTTCAAAACTCATACTGAAGTTAATTACTTGATTTTCAGCAATGCATTGTACAGTTTGAATTTTTGATCAAATGCCTTAAAAATAGATAAAATTAATAGGTATTATAAAAGGTTTTGAAGTTTATATCTTTCTTTAATAAGATATTATGCTAAATACCAGTAACATTGCATGTCCCACAGGACACTGTATAAGGCTCAATACTTTTCTTTATATACCGCTTGTTTATATAAATGGCTACATACATCACAGCCATTAATGACTTCTCCAAATTTTTTAGTAAATATCTATACTTAACTGCATGAAAAAGAGTAGATATTAATGAAGGGTCATGATAGGACACTCCGATATACGTAAACATCTCTACAAATAATTGATCGCAATGACATCAAATATTTTGTTTGTGTAATATTAGCATATCTGTGTTTAATCTCTTTCCTTTCATATGCTGTAAAGTTAAATTTGGATATAATTGTGAAAATATCCTTATAATTTTGATCTTCAATGAAGACCAGAATCAGGAACAAGGAAAACTGAAAAAATGAACCTTGTGAACAGGTTTGGCACTAGCTGCAGAACCTTATCTCTGATGGTCTTTATTATTTTATATGATTTATGCACACCATAGTGTACAGTTTATTCCTATGTTAAAACATTTGGAATAGGGACCAGAGTTCAGGTCACACTTATTTCCATCAGTTTGACTATTTACCACTCTTGTGTAGCTTAGAAATGTAGTTATTTCGTTTCGTAAGATATTTTTCTATTATGTACCTAATATGTTTGAATATTCATTTCCTAGGCACAATCGTCTAAATATTTCTTTTTTGTGTATATCTCTCCGCCTATTTTGTTCTGCCATTTTAAATCTGTGGTAGTCTCATATTTAAGTCACGTGAATTATTAAGCATTCAAGAGCTGTGTTCGTGTGAAAAATATCACCAGGACCTAAGAATTATGGTTCTGCAGCTAGTTAGGCACCAGAAATTGTAAGATTTAAACTCTGCGAAAATAAACAACTTAACATTATTGAAGAAAAAGAGTGTACATCAAAAAAATATGTATAAAGAAATGAATTTACAATTGCAGTATAACACTGGATGGAGATTTAAGAAGAGACCTCATATAGAATATTTTTTACAAAGTATAGCAGCACCTTTGTATGAAGTTGTAGTATATACACAGGATTCTGGAGCAGTAAGTATAAATATAGACTGGTGTCAATAAAGGTATGTGGTGACTGAAAATATGGTGTACTTTATAGACAAGAGAAAGAGAATTTTTCGGATATTATCTAATTAAGAAATAACAGTACTTTATTTTAAGAGATACCACTTCCAAATAATATTTGACAGTGCCAACTCCTCAAATACAGTACTGGTATTCCTTTTGCAATGCATTAAAAATCAAATATAATTAAACTTGCAAAAAAAATGGGGTAAAATCCCGAACAGAAAATGGTGTGAAATATTTTGAATAGATAACAACATGGCAAAGCATGACATCCTATGAGTGTTAATCCATTACTTGTATGATTTAAATTTGGATAATACAAAAGTACCTCATTAAAAGGTGATAATGAGGAAGATGTAGTTTTCATTTTGGTTGTATTGTAATAATCGAACATGTTAATACCAAGAAGTCCATATGGTGGTTCACTCCTTTAAAGTTACGACTTGTCAACTGTTGATTTTAGGGTAAAAATGGTAGCCAGTGAACTTTTGTACTCTGAAGCAGACCTACAAGACATTTTGATTTGACGAAGCTAAAACGTTATAGAAAACCAACCATTTCACTATAAAATATAAACAGATACATGTAAACTTACTTTTAGAAAGATTTTAATAAATTCTTACCAAGCAACACTAACAAAAATGTTGTTCAAAATAAGACATCAGTCACATGTAGCCCATGTTCTATGATTGGAATCATAACGTGGCTTTGTTTCCAATGTGAAAGAAGAATGTCATATTAGAAATTAATAATCCATATGATCATTTGATAAATACATGTACTTATTGCAGAATGCAGATCCTATCCTCTTCAATTTAGACCAAAAGGGATATATAAATTATAGATTATATCGTGATGCAACAAGATATATGCATGGACATCATGTTAAGGTTAGTATATTAAACCAATAATGACTAAGTTTGTGAACATAGATATGATATGGATAAATGGTTGTTTACACTCCAGTTAGTCACTCTTCATGTCCTTTGGTTTGACCTCTATACCATACTTTAACTCTGGTTCACGTGTTACATTTACTCTGCTTGTCTGTCAGTGCTTTTCTTCATACCTTTTTTACATCACTCATCTTCTGTAGTTAGGAATGACTTGATATTTGGTCAGAAACTTTATAATGTTGAGTTGTACAGTGTTGGTGATTTTCAGATCTCCTGCTTGATGATACTTTGAACATTTTTTTAAAGCTACTGAGCATGGAATTTTTTGTTAAAGTTAAGTAACAAGAGCATTATACTTTGCATAACATTCAAACAACTTCTTGAAATAGAATCTTTAAATGCTGAATTTGGATTTTGCGTCAGTTTATGCCTATGGCTATAATGGTTCAATTACGACATGAATACTGAATTTTTTTATAAGCCTACTTATATTAAGTTAATGCTGTATAATTAGATTTTTGTCCCCCGCGTAATGCTTTGGGGGCGGGGGGACATGGAAATACCGGGCATCCGTCCATCTGTCTGTCCGCCCGTCCGGTCTTGTTAGCACTCTCACAGGTACAATTCTTGCCAGATTTTTATAAAACTTATACTCTAGGTTAATATCAAAAATATCTCAGACAATATATATAATGGTGGCTGATCGACTTTTTATGTCCCCGCCACAGCAGAGGGGCATTAAGTTTTACCCTTGTCCGTCTGTACGTACGTCCCAAAGCTGGTTTCTGTTCTCTAACTTTAGTTGGCCTCTACCAAATATTAAGAAACTTATACACAATGCTTATTACCACTAAACACAGATTGAGTTTGAAAATGCGTGGCGTCACTTATACTGTTCTTGAATTATGCCCTTTATAAACATAAAAATTGCTGAATTTTTCGTTTCCGTTCTCTAACTTTAGTTTGCCTCAACCAAATGTATGAAACTTATACACATTACTTATTACCACAAAACTCAGATCAAGTACAAATTAGGGTAACCTCACTTTTACCGTTCTTCGGTTATATCCCTTTATAACTTTATTAGAAATGCAAGTGGGGGCATCATCTGTGTCCCATAGACACATTCCCCATTTATTTTAAGAGTTATGCCCCTTTGGAAATATTAAATTTATGGAAAATAGCCTCGTTAGTGCTAAAAAAAAAAGTGTTTTATTTAGTTATTGCCCTTGTACCTTGGATAGATAAAATATGTGCAACGTAGGGGACATTGGAACTCTGTTCTTTTTATTTAATGAAAATAATATTCTAGAGCAGAAAATATTGGAACAACATTTATAATACACACACTATCATCATTTGTTGATTCATAATAATTATGATAAATGTAGAATTAATTCAGTGATTTCCTTCCTTTATTTCGGGGGCAAATTAATATTGGCCCTGTTCCCAATTAGAAAAAAACCTGAAATTTTCCCTTTCAACAAAAAATTGAATGGGGTTCTTTGATATGCTGAATCTAAGTGTGTATTAAGATTTTGGATTTTGGACCCTGTTATGAAATTGATCCAAATTGAGGTTCAAAGTGTCCAAAATTAAACTTTGTTTGATTTCATCAAAAATTGAATTCTTGGGGTTCTTTGATATGCTGAATCTAACCATGTATTCAGATTTTGGATATTGGACCAAAATAGGTAAATGTCCAATTTCAAATTTTTAAGGTCTTACACCACATTCATTCTGTGTCAGAAACCTATGCAGTGTCAAACATTTAATCACAATCCAAATTCGGAGCTGTATCAAGCTTGAATGTAGTGTCAATACTTGCCCCAACTGTTCAGGGATTGACCTCTTCAGTGGTATCAAGCTGCAAGCTACAGAGCATTTTATTACTTATGTTATAAACTGTAATGCCCCATTCATTTGATCTCATGGCCCATTCATGTTCAAAATGGTACATTAAAATTTACATGAGGGGCCCAGGGCCCAAAGATCACTGCATACAGACTCTTAATGGAAATGATTGAAAAATAAAAATAAATAGTTTTTTTTACTTTTAGCCATTTTTGCAATCCAGTGAAATATCATGAAACATTAATCATACAGAACATGCTCAAAGCTCTCTGGAAATATCCAAGAACACTTGATTTAGCTTCATTTATTTAAAATTTTTCTGAGGTCATGCCATCAGATTCCCCTAGCATGGGTTATGCCTAGTGAGGCTAGCAGAGAACAGGGAGGATTTGTAAAAACCTAATGAAAGATTTTGATATTTTTTAAAAAGTTAAGTGTCTACCTCAGTCGATTCAGTTAGTTTATGTAAAAGATTTGGACTGATTTGGTCATTAAAGACGCTCAAATTCAAGCTTAACTATGAAAAATATATCACTTTTCAGATGTTTTTGTCTAAAATGTAAGTGGCCGCATTTGTGTTCAGTCTCAACCTTTATATATGTTATGTATTATCATTAAATACAACATATATTTAAATATTAAGATTGAACACAAATGTGGCCACTTCCATTATGAACAAACACCGTCTTAAAATTAGCACAAATGCTAAAATTGTGAAGATTTCAGTAATATTGCACAAATTTATGATGCTATTACCTGATGCATTGCATCGTATTGTCAAAAACAGCCCATATTTATGAAACAGAAGTATTCTTCTTTCCAATAAATAGCTAAAAGTTTACATTTGGTAAAATTGGTAAAAATGCTATATTTTCGGGCCAAAAAGGGGTCTTACTGGGCCTACTCCTTTAACTAGCCCTGTGGGCAAGTAATAAGGAATTTACTGGTTGTTAGTGTCAAACCTTGGCTATATATTAACAATCATCAAATTTGAACATGGTAGAAAATTGGAATTCTAATAAATAACCTCATTAAAATATGATGAAAACAATGACGTAATTCTTCCCAATTCACACATTATACAAAACATTTTTCCTAATTGACTAGGGCCCAGCACCATTTGAAAAAAGGTAGGAAAATCACTGTATTTTTGGAATTACAGTCTGTATTTTTTATCTTATTTCAGGAGACTCTGGTAGATTGAACTTTATTTGAATAATTGCAGCATTAGTCAGTATTAGACATAGGTACCACTTGAATGATACAGTTTAGTTTATTTATATTACAAAATGAAAATAAACTTTACAAATTGTGAAGTTATAAAAACAATTAGTTATATAATTCAACCTTTTGGGTTAGTGTATAACTTTGACCCTATTATCTAGAAGGACGAAGCATAGTCATTTGTAAGTGAGTATATATCTTTTAAATTTGCAGGATCTTAGTTGTCTGAACAGGGATTTATCAAAAGTCATCTTTATAGACTGGAATGAAAAGTCCTTCTCTCTGCAGCCCCGGAATGCTCTCAAAGTAAACAGGTGGACAGGAGATGATGATGATAGGTCATTGATAGACCTAGCAAACTTCTTACAAGGTTTGTATACCATCCTTATATGTATAGATTAGTATGTTTTCTAGTTGAAATATCAGTGGGGAAAAAAATCAAGTCAAAGACAAAAGGACAACATTATGACCTAAGACAAAAGGACAACATTATGACCAAAGACAAAAGGACAACATTATGACCAAAGACAAAAGGACAACATTATGAACAAAGACAAAAGGACAACATTATGACCAAAGACAAAAGGACAACATTATGACCAAAGACAAAAGGACAACATTATGAACAAAGACAAAAGGACAACATTATGACCAAAGACAAAAGGACAACATTATGACCAAAGGCAAAAGGACAACATTATGACCAAAGACAAAAGGACAACATTATGACCAAAGGCAAAAGGACAACATTATGACCAAAGACAAAAGGACAACATTATGACCAAAGACAAACAACAGTCCACAAAAGACTACATAGAAAACTAAACTGAAAAATGTGAAAGCCCTTTTGCTGTTTTACAAATGGCCCTATTGTTTTAAGAGCTGAATTTCCATTTTCAGACTTAATTTCTCCAAAAGCTTATCACCTATTGGATCATAATACATGACAGAATTGATCAAAACCACATTTAACTTTCGTCAATTTTTTCAGTGGCAAATTGCAAATGATGATTTCTGGTAAGGCAATATGCATAAAACTGGAAGTAAACTGTGGAAATGATATTCATTTTCATTGTCGTAGATTACATGTGTTTAACAATTGCTATCAAAAGTAGTTTCTAAAAGAACATACCCACATGACACCATTTATTTCAGCAATTTTCTTAGAGAACTTAAAGATATTGTTCATACAAATTTCTTGTATATAAAAGTTTTTATAATTCTAAAAAAGCAGTGTAAAAAAGAAGGATAAATCTGTAAATAAAGAGCTTAAGGAATACAAATTACAATTTTTTTTTAACCTTTTTTTTTAAAGTTTTGATAATAGGATTCCAGACAGTACAGAGAGAATTGTATACTTTCCAGCAATTATATTAACCAAATTATTTCAAAATTATATAACAAACAGCAGTCCAAGTTAGATGATTATTAAACTAGAGGCCCTTAAGAGCCTGTTGACTAGAAATCATGACAAAAAATCAAAAAGATAATAGGCAAAAATGGAAAAAAAATTTTGGTAAATTTGTCATTTAGGGGCAATAACTCATATAAGAGGTTGTCTGACAGTTTTGATGTAAACAGACAGTAAGTAGATTTCAACATTCGGAACATGTCTGTCCCTGTCAGATTTTCTCTATTTATAGCAGTTTTCAAGATAATAAACAAGACTTGCATTTTATTCCTTGTTTTTGTCGAGCCTGCGACATCTGTCGCAGAAAGCTCGACATAGGGATAATGATATGGCGGCGGCGTTAAATAACTATTTAAAAGCTTTATATTTTAGAAGGTGGAAGACTTGGATGCTTCATACTTTGTATACAGATGCCTTATGTTATGAAGTTTCTGTCTGTCGCCCATTGTCCTTGACCTCATTTTCATGGTTAAGTGACTACTTGAAAAAAAAGTTAAGATATTTTGTAATGTTAATTTCTCTCATATTATGAGTAATAGAATAACAGTTACTATATTTAGTATGTGCGTACAATGAAAGGTCCTCATGCCTGTCAGACAGTTTTCAACTGACCTCCACCTTATTTCATGGATCAGTGAACAAGGTTAAGTTTTTGTTGTCAAATCCATATATCAGATACTATAAGCAATAGGTCTAATATATTTGGTGTATGGAATGATTGTAAGGTGTACATGTCCAACTGGCAGGTATCATCTGACCATGACCTCATTTTCATGGTTCATTGGTCAATGTTAAATTTTCAAGGCTAAGTTTGTTTCTTAGATACTATAAGCAATAGGTCAACTATATTTAATGCATAGATTGATTGTTAGGTTCACATGTCTGTCTGGCATGGTTCATCTGACCTTGACCTCATTTTCATGGTGCATTAGTCAAAGTTAAATTTTCATGGTTAAGTTTGTTTCATACAAAACTATAAGCAATAGGTCAACTATATTTGGTGTATGGAATGATTGTAAGGTGTACATGTATTTCCGGTTTGGTTTATCTGACCTTGGCCTTATTTTGTTGGATCATGTTAAGTTTATGCGATACTTATAGTAAAGCTTTATATTTAGGACTTTGAACATAAAATCAATGATCAGTAAAGCAGGCGAGACATTTCATCATGTGCACTCTTGTTTATTTTTAGCCATGTTTGCCATGCTGATTGGCAGGTGGTGTCATCGAACACATTTTAAACTAGATACCTGATGAAGATTGTAACCAACTTTATTTAAATTTGGCCTAGTAGTATCAGACGTGAAGATTTTTGTAAAAGTTGGCGGACACAGATTCCAAGTGATGAGAAAAGCTCACTTGGTCCTTTGGGCAAGTTGAACTAAAAAGGAAATGTTGGGAATTCATCAATAATAAGAAAGGAAAAGCTGTAAAAAATAAAACCTAGAAAGTATTTATCTCAGACCTTTTTACTTCACTTGGCCTAAAGAACCACTTTGAGATTTTATCATTACTTTGCATTCATTCAAATTCATCCTGTTATAATTCTTTCAGAATTCTCCTGCTCTCCAATAAGTTATGTAAAACACAAATTGCTGCCAATTTTTTGTCAAAAAAATACACAAATATATTTTCTTAAGATTTCTGGTTAATGCCTAAACTTTCTCCAAAAATAGAAAAATTGACAAAAAATTCAATATGAAAATTCTAAGTAAAATACATTGATTGATTGATTGTTGGTTGCTTAATGTCCAATGGCAAATATTTCATGCATATTCAGGACGAGAACAAGTTAACAATAAATACAATAGGTAGGTTCTGTAATAGGGGCTTCCAGGATTAAGGTCGGAGAAATTTAGACTGCCACAGAAAAAGAGGGTATATTGGAAAGGGACAGAAATTTAGCCTTGCAACAGGTCACCTACGGACCCCTCAAAGAGTTGTTGCAAGGGTTCTTAACGTGCATAGAGCGTGGCACTCTCTATACACGAGGCATCGGATTTAACGTCCCCAATCTGACCGGACGTGGCTGCAAATTTGTACATCCCGCACAGCCAAACGGACGCCCCACTTTGACAAGGGTTCTACTGCCGGTCGGAGGAAGACCAATGGTGAACATACTTCTATTCCCCAGTCATCCTTGGGGGGGAAGTAAAATATAATAGATAAAGGTAATTAAATCAATAATCAACAGCTGTCCCCATGCCTAACTACAAAACTGTTAAACCATCTTCTTTCAAATTTTGATATGTTTTTAATGGTGACATTATAAAGGTCAATTTCAATATTGACAATTTTCATTTTTGCCTCTCTGGAGTTATGGTCCTTGATTGATTGAGAAATGGCACAAAGCATGATCCAATCCTTTTCAAATTTTGATAGGCTGTTTATTGTTTTTGATCATTTTTATGCCCCCGCCGTAGCGGTGGAGGCATTAAGTTTTACCCTTGTCCGTCTACGTACGTACGTACGTCCCAAAATTGGTTTCCGTTCTCTAACTTGAGTTTGCCTCAACCAAATGATATGAAACTTATACACAATGCTTATTACCACAAAAAACAGATCAAGTTTGAATTTTGGTGGCGTCACCTTAAGTGTTCTAGAGTTATGCCCCTTTATAAATGGAAAAATTGCAAAATTTTTAGTTTCCATTCTCTAACTTAAGTTTGCCTCAACCAAATATTATGAAACTTATACACAATTCTTATTACCACAAAACACAGATCAAGTTTGAATTTTGGTGCCATCACTTTAACCGTTCTAGAGTTATGCCCCTTTATAAATGGAAAAATTGCAAAATTTTTATTTTCTTCTAAATATCAAGTAATTTTTTTAAATTGGAGTTATCTTCCTTTGTCTTTGATTATAGTTGAATCAACTGCAATCAATGCTTTATACAATGCAATGTTTAATTTTGACTTCCAATGATAAAACACAGATCAAGTTGAATTTGGGTAGTGTCACTTTAACCATTATTGAGTTATGCCCCTTTATAAATCGAAAGATTGCAAAATTTTTAGTTTCCATTCTGTAACTGAAGTTAGCCCCAACCAAACATTATGAAACCTAAACACAATATTCATTACCACAAAACTAAGATCAAGTACAATTTTTTTGTTTCCATTTTCTAACTTTAGTTTGCCTCAACCAAATGTTATGAAACTTATACACAATGCTTATTACTACATAATACAGATGGTGGCGACACTTTTACCATTCTTGAGGTTTGTCCCTTTATAAACATAAAAATTGCTGAATTTTTGTTTCCGTTCTCTATCTTTAATTTATCTCAACCAAATGTTATAAAACTTATACACAACCGTTCTAGAGTTTTCTCTACTTAAGTTAGCCTCAACCAAATGTTATGAGACTTACACACAATGCTTATTACCACAAAACTCAGATCAAGTTCAAATTTGGGTAGCGTCACTTTTACCGTTCTTCAGTTATGTCCCTTTATAACTATATGATATGCAAGCGGGGGCATCATCTGTGTCCACATGTGGACACTATCCACATTTAGTTTTTTGTCATTCAGGAGTTATTGTCCTTGATTTCTTTAAGAATGACATTTTTAAATGTATGAAAAACCAACTTTGCTGTCATTTTGACAGCCTCTTGCTTCTGTTGAAATTTATGTGAAAGGAAATCCTTCATTTACAAATGTTTGGTAACATATAATTATTATGCTATACTAGCTTTAATAGACCTAAGGTGTTTATTAAAATCAGGGGTTCTTTTCACAAAACATCTTACGACAAAAATTAATTGTAAGTTATACTGAAATGTTCATGACTTGTTTCTTGTAAGATTTTTTTGTAAAATGAGTTGCAGTGTCCTATTATACTGTGTGTAGCTAATTACAGGTACTATGCACTAATACATATTTGATAAAGTTATCATTGTCAACTGATGATAATGCACTGTTAATATCATGCTGCCCATGATGTAGCCCTTTTTCCATCAAATGACTTGTATTCACTTCAAAGCCTTATCACAAGACTACTTTACTTTGTAATTGTATAAATTTAATCTTGAAGATGAGCATTAAGTGATTCTATTCTTCACTTTATATGATTTAAAGCTTAAGACAAGTATTCATTATGGTTTCTGAAAAGATGATAGGTGTAATTAAAATGTTCACTGAAATTACTAGTATATTACAGCTTTACCTCAGGAGTTGGTCATTAGGGCTTTTTACATAATTCATTGATTTCAAACATTATTTAATGGTAGGACATTACATGAATGAGATAGACAAGGTTGTACAACAATGATTCATAAATTAAAGATAATAGTGGTAATTATTGCCTGCACTTTGAGACATGATCTATTATTTATTTAACATTGCTCTTTGATACTTTGAAGGTAATTGAGTATTATTTTATGATGTTGTTTACCTGTATTGTGTACGTCATATCTTATTTAATTTCCGCAGCTTTTAGAGATGAACAAGATATGCAATTTATTACATAGCACTTGGAGATAAAAGTGAGAGTAGCATTCAGAAAATTGCATAATTATCAACAGAGGATGACATTAATCTTTCGATGATTTGATTTTATAAATATCTAATTTGTATTATCATTTTAATTCAGTGGCTCTATAGATTTTATGTACAATGCTATTTGTACTGATTTATTGCTTCATGCTAGCAAAAAAATGAAGAATGACAATTAATATTAAAAATGTTATTTTTACACTATTACTACCACTCTTACTTTTATTCTTCACTATGCTACTTGTTAACATTCTGACATCCTGCTACATGTATAAATTTGATGGGGAAAATTTGTTTTTGTTTAAAGCTCAAAGCTCTTTTTAAAGTTAGAATTTTCTTATCTTTTAAAAATTTTGTTTCCACTATTTATACTTTAGGTTAGAAAAGAATTTGTTAAAACAAAACTGGAAATCTTTTATTAATGTCTTTTCTGTGATTAATGTTGTGAATAAAGACATGTCAACATGGAATATGAACTTATCTGATTAGGTCATTTAAAAAAAAATGGACTTCTGATAGATAGTTGATATTTGATATACAGTTATATAGGCATTGATTGCATGCATAGTTATTGTCTCGCCTTGACGGAGTCAAAAAGCGAGACATAGGTATGCTGTTTCCAGCGTCGACGTCGGCGGCGTCAACAATGTATTAGTTTGTGATTAGTTCTAGTTCATGGTGAACCACTAGTGGTAGGTCAATGATATTTGGTATGCAGTTGTATTAGCATTGGCACATCTCATTACCATGGAGATTATTTGGCCCCGCCCCCTCAGTCAAGGTCTATTGACTTCGAAACTTTTCATAGTTTACATGTATTAGTTTGTGATTAGGTCAATTTATGGGGAACCACTAGTGGTATGCAGTTGTATAAGCATTGGCATATCTCATTTCCATGGAGATTATTTGGCTCCGCCCCCTTAGTCATGGTCTATAGACTTTGAAAAGATTGCTAAGTTTACATGTATTAGTTTGTGATTAGGTCAGTTCAAGGGGAACCATTAGTGGTAGGCCAATGTTAATTGGTGTTCAGTTGTATAAGCATTAGCACATCTCATTTCCATGGAGAATATTTGGCCCCGCCCCCTCAGTCATGGTTTATTTACTTTGAAACTTTTGCTTAGTTTACATGTATTAGTTTGTGATTAGATCAGTTTAAGATGAACTGCTAATGTTAAGTCAATGATATTTGGTATGCAAATTTATTGGCATTTGCAAGTATCGTTTCCATGGAGATTATATAGCCTCACCCCTGATCATGGTTCATTGACTTTGAAACTTTTACATAGTTTACAAGTTAATGTATGTCTTTAGGTTTGTTTAAAGGGAACGACTTATAATAAGTCAATGGTATTTGGTATGCAGTTGTATTAGCATTGGCACATCTTATTCCATGGAGATTGTTTAGCCATGTACCTTCAGTCATGGTTCATCGACTTTGAATATTTGCATAACTTACATGTACATGTTCAATATTGCTATTTTAATTTCAGCATTTGCATTATCAAAATTACAAAAAGGTGAGACATATCTCTGTGATAACAGTTTATGTACAGAATGTGAGACTCTGACCCTCAGGTATTCCCCATAGACTCAGTTAATCATTCAACAGGCAGAGACATTCTTATCATCCCAACATTTTCAATTTCACTGGACACTATATTAACTGCCTTGGCCAGTGAACAAGAAATCATTTTTTATTGAGTGTAAAAAAAAAGGCTATATCTATAAAGTTATACATGGACTTACTTATTTCCATTTTAGCCATAGCCGCAACTAAAGTAGATGATGTTAGAGAAGTCTTAGACTACTATAAAAATTTTGATGATCCTCTTGAAGCATTTAAAGATAACCAGAGAAAATTACAAGTAAGTATTAAAGTTCCATGCTATATTTGCTTATATCATGAAAGGTACAACTGGGTTTAAAAAAAATTGTGCCACTGTGTTTTTAAATTTTATTATCTAATTATAGATCAATATAACTTGATTGAACTCACAGCAATGCTGTCCAAACTGGAAGATTGAAATAGTTTCTATCGTCCCATTAATCGATTGAAATATATTCTATTGTGACATGAAATTAAGCTTATTAAAAACTTGTCAAACAATTATTAACAATAAAAAATTTGTTTTTTCAAGGATACTTAATTTTGTTGTTTCTTCATTTGCTCCAATCAAGTACAATGTTACTAAAAATTTGTATTTCGTTGAGTATGTAAATTTGCTATTGAATATCTTTACTTGTGAAATCCTCAAAAATTAATATCCAGGAAACATTAATACAGAAAAAGTATTTCTAAATACTGTGTAAGGGTTGTTCTATTAAAACATACATGGGACCAAAGGAAGGCAGGCACCTTGAAATCTCAAATATAGGTAGGTGCCAATTACAGTAAAAATACATGTAAAATTCAAAGTTTACTTCTCTAGGTGGTTACCCATTTTGAAAGTGCCTTCTCTGGGTACCATGTATGCTTTAATGAAACATCCTTGGTTAGAAGATGGGCTTAACCCATTGGGTTTTTTTTTCAAACTGACTGGTCCCAGTCAGTAAAAAGTTGGAAATGATGATCTACTGGTTAAAACTAATAATAAAAGAGAGTATTAAACTTTCTACAAAAAAACGTTAAAGATAATAGTAGAACTTGTATAAAAATAATTTTGTTCTACATAGTATTTCTTAATCTTTATTTTAGGAAGAACAAGAAAGACAGTCAAAGTTGATGCAGGAAAGAGAAAAGAAAAAGCCAACCAATTTTGGACTGAATTTTCTTGGCAGAAGATAATAAACTTTGTAAATAGTTATCTTCATTGAATCAATTGTACTTGATGTCATATGTAATTTACAATAAGTTGAAAAATTACTATTTCTAAGAAAAGTATGTTGTGTCCTTATTTGAAATTCACTTGTGTGATTTTTGTTTATTGATTCAGAATTCCCTGTATTTTCCCTTTGTAAATGAGCTGGCTACGTACCAATTTCAATAATATTTGTCAACTTGCTGACAATGAAGCTTTAATACAGTTCTGATAAGATCTCTGTATATTTATGGTCTTGTCATACTTTTTTATGTCATAAATTGAACAAAGATAATTTGATGTCAATGATTTTTTTATATAAGAAGGCTGCACACAGATATGATTTCTATCTAATGACATCACATTATATACATAAGGACTGGTATCCAAATTAGTAGGTGTAACAGTGATATAGACATGGACTGCACATAACATTGACAACGTCAGCATGATGGAGTATGGAATGTAAAATCGGCAATTTGACCTATCCTCTCCACCGACTTGTAGTCAGGGAATTACGATATAAATTTAAAAGTCATATGAAAGTAATTACAAACTTATATTCACAGATATGACAGTACAAATTCCCCATTGACAAATAAAAGACTAGTTTAGTTTCAATTTCAATTTATGAATAGAAATTTTCTACTTGAAAATGTGCGACACATCATTTTTGCATATCCATCTACTCCCCTTATCAAATCTTGTCTAATCCCATATTAAAACCTGTCATTAAAATTTCAGCTAAAGTCTCAGGCTAATATTAAGACTTTATATTGATATCACTATAATCAGGTATATTGATATCACTATAACCAGGACTGATATTTGATAAACTATAGTAGACGGCTTTACTTTAACTTATATTTTTGCATGAATAATGTTTCCCCTATAATAAAGAGAAGCATGTTTTAAAATTAAGTGTGATGGGGGTTGCTGTCTCATTGACCTGTAAACATTTTCCTGGGTTGTTATTTTTCTTGATTTCAATGCCTAAACTTTTTATTTGGGGGTTCAAATTCACCCTTCAACAATAAGTTTGCAATTAACAGCAATATTATAAGTTTCTATAACCCATTGTGTGGTTGGTAATTTTATGCATTTCTATCGTAGCTGGGCATAAAAATCAATGTCCTCCTACACTCTTTACAGCAGTGGCTTTTCTTTGAGGTAGATTTCATCATGCAGCATCATGAATAGTACAGGAAGACACAGTCTTGTGCAGTGTGCATGGTTGGTCCTCAACTTGCATATTATTACACTTACAGTAGGTGTTCAATTCCTACAAATAAAGATTGTTTATAGGAATCACCTAATCCTGTCATATTTCCAATTTGTGTATTATAATGAATCATTGGATCTGCCCACCTTCTTAATCAGCACTATTTTAACACATTGTTCATGTACCTATGATCTTTTAAGTTTTTTAAAAAATCACAAAATTTATTAATTTGAAAAAGTAGTTGACATTTTATATTGGAAATAATATGAATGATTAATAGAAATTATGACACAATCAGTTATTATTCTAAGATATATACATGTACTAATTATTGAAATTAAATAAATATTTTATGAGTTATACTTTGAAATATGCACATTTCAACTAAATGATGTAAAATTGATTACACGTGGGATGACACTACTTTCATATCACTTCACAATTACTGCTAAATTTTTTTTTGATGTATGTTTAAAGTTTTACTTTAATATTCGAAATGTTAATAACATAGAACTTTATTTTGAAGATCTGCAAACTTAAGGTTTTTAGCTCACCTTTCCAAAGGAAAAGTGAGCTTTTGCCATCACTTGGCGTCTGTCTCCGTCGTCATTGTCTGTCCGGTGTAAACTTTTTCAAACATCTTCTCCTCTGAAACTTATGAACCAATTCCAACCAAACTTAAGATGAATGATCCTTAGGGTATCTAGAATAAACTTTGTGTTTTATTTTCTGTTTCATCAAAAAACATGGTCGCCATGGCTAAAAATAGAACATAAGGGTAAAATGTAGTTTTTGGCTTTTATGTCAAAAACTAAAGCATTTAGAGCAAATCTGACATGGGGTAAAAATTTTCAAATCAGCCCTGAAATTTTCAGATGAATCTAACGACCCATTGTTGGGTTGCTGCCACTAAATTGGTAATTTTTAGGAAATTTTGCAGTTTTCAGTTATTATCTTGAATATTATTATAGATAAAGATAAACTGTAAACAGCAAAAATGTTCAGCAAAGTAAGATCTACAAATAAGTTTTATATGACCAAAATTGTGAATTGACTCCTTAAGGAGTTATTGCCCTTTAAGGACAATTTTACACAATTTGTTTTCTAACTTTAAAAAATCTTCTCCTCTGAAACTGTTGAACCAAATTAAACCAAACTTAAGCTGAATGATTCTTAGGTTATCTAGAATAAAGTTTGTGTTTTATTATCTGTATCATGAGAACATAGCCGCCATGGCTAAAAATAGAACATAGGGTAAAATGCAGTTTTTGACTTATACCTCAAAAACTAAAGCATTTAGAGCAAATCAGACAAGAAGTAAAGGTATTCATTAGGTCAAGGTCTACCTGCCCTGAAATTATCAGCCAAATCAGGTATCTGATTTTTAGGTTACAGCCCCTGAATTGATGATTTTAAGGAGATTTTGCAGTTTTCGGTTATTATCTTGAATATTATTATAGATAAAGATAAACTGTAAACAGCAAAAATGTTTAGCAAAGTAAGATCTACAAATGTAGTGTATAATGTTGACTGGTACAAAAATTGTCTGGCATATACTTCATTCAAGATTAAAATTAGGTTGTTTTAGTGTTTATTTAAAGAAAAATAGTACATGTCAATAATATTGATATTTTGTCAGTGAATACCTCTGATTGTAAGGTGATATTGCCACTTATCTTTTATATGTGAGTGGTTTTATAATTTTTTGTACAATACACACCTATGAATTATAGAATATAATATTGCAACTGTTAAACCATCTTCAATGGTGATGAATATCTACTTATAAAATTTGATCTTCTCTGCCAATATTTTATGCATGGATTAGAAATGAAAGTACAAACTAAATTGAGTATTTATACATGCTCACCATGACTATATCAGATTTAGACATGTATAAAAATATTCAATTTTTAGATGAGCCTGATTGAGAGGGGATTAGCTGTTCTAGATCTTTATTACTTATGAATATTGTATAGTAATGTTTTGTATACATGTATATAATTATTATTTGAGCCTGCAACTAATAAATGACTTTATAGAAAAAAAAAATCTATGCTTTAAACTCATGACTTTTTACCTTAACTTCTCCAAAAGGACTGTATGAGCTATTAATTGTCATTAATTTATATTGACCAGCATTAGTACAAAATGTATGATAGCCACTGATCAAGCAAAGAATAAATAAAATGCTCTGCAGGGTGCAGCTTGTTACAACTGCAGAGGTCCAACCCTGAACAGTTGGGACATATATGGACACTAACATTTAAGCTTGATACAGCTCTGAATTTGGATTGTGATTAAATAGTTGACACAGCAAAGGTTTCCGACACAGAATAAATGTAGTCCAAAAACTTAAAAATTTGAAATTGGACATCTACTTATGATGGTCCAATATCCAAAATCTAAATTACATGGTTAGATTTGGCATATCAAAGAACCCATGAATTCAATTTTTGATGAAATCCAGCAACGTTTATTTTTTGACCCTTTGGGTTTAGATTTTTTTGAGCCTGCGACTACTGTCGCAGAAAGCTCAACATAGGGATAGTGATCCGGCAGCGGTGGTGGCGTTAACTAACTACTTAAAAGCTTTATATTTTAAAAGGTGAAAGACCTGGATGCTTCATACTTTGTGTATAGATGCCTTATGTTATGAAGTTTCCGTCTGTCCTTAACCTCATTTTCATGGTTCAGTGACTACTTGAAAAAAAAGTTAAGATTTTTTGTAATGTTAATTTCTCTCTTATTATGAGTAATAGGATATCTATATTTAGTATGTGCGTACCTTGCAAGTCCTCATGCCTGTCAGACTGTTTTCATCTGACCTCGACCTCATTTCATGGATCAGTGAACAAGGTTAAGTTTTTCGTTGTCAAGTCCATATATCAGATACTATAAGTAATAGGTCTAATATATTTGATGTATGGAATGATTGTAAGGTGTACATGTCCAACTGGCAGGTGTTTTCTGACCTTGACCTCATTTTCATGGTTCAGTGGTTAAAGTTAAGTTTTTGTGTTTTTATACGACTGCAAAAAAATTTTTGTGGTCGTATATTGGTGTGACGTTGGCGTCGTCGTCGTCGTTGCGTCGTCCAAAGACACATTAGTTTTCGCACTCTAACTTTAAGTGAATGGATCTCTATGAAATTTTACCATAAGGTTCAATACCACAAAAGGAAGGTGGGGATTGATTTTGGGGGTTATGGTACCAACAGTTAAGGAATTAGGGGCCAAAAAGGGGCCAAAAATAAGCATTTTTGTAACTTCCAGACATAACTTGTGTGTAAGTGTATGGATCTCTCTGACATTGTACCACAAGGTTCCATATCACAAAGGGAATGCTGGGATTGATTTTGGGGGTAATTGCCTCCAAATTTTAGGAATTAGGGGCCAAAAAGGGGCAAAAAACAAGCATTTTTCTAGTTTCATGACAATAACTTGTGTGTAAGTGTATGGATCTCTCTGACATTGTATCACAAGGTTCCATATCACAAAGGGAATGCTGGGATTGATTTTGGGGGTAATTGCCTCCAAATTTTAGGAATTAGGGGCCAAAAGGGTAAAAAAACAAGCATTTTTCTAGTTTCATGACAATAACTTGTGTGTAAGTGGATGGATCTTTATGAAATTGTACTACAAGGTTCCATATCACAAAGAGAAAGCTGGGTTTGAGTTTGGGGGTAATTGCCCAAAAAGTTTAGGAATAAGGGGCCAAAAAGGGGCCAAAAATAAGCATTTTTCTAGTTTCCAGACAATAACTTGTGTTCAAGAGTATGGATCTCTCTGAAATTGTACTGCAAGGTACCATACCACAAAGGGAAGGCTGGGATTGATTTTGGGGGTAATTCCCTCAAAATTTTAGGAATTAGGGGCCATAAAAGGGCAAAAAAACAAGCATTTTTCTAGTTTCAGGACAATAACTTGTGTGTAAGTGTATGGATCTTTATGAAATTGTACTACAAGGTTCCATATCACAAAGGAAAAGCTGGGTTTGAGTTTGGGGGTAATTGCCCTAAACGTTTAGGAATTTGGGGCCAAAAAGGGGCCAAAAAACAAGCATTTTTCTAGTTTCCAGACAATAACTTGTGTTCAAGAGTATGGATCTCTCTGAAATTGTACTGCAAGGTACCATACCACAAAGGGAAGGCTGGGATTGAGTTTGGGGGTGATGAATCATAAGGGGGTTCAAAAAATTTTGGGGGGGGGGATTTTTTTTTCCCTTTTTTTTTCTTTAAAATTTTCCATTTTAAATTGGTTATTTCTGATTTATATATAAAAGCAAATAATAATGATATGGTTTGAATAGGTAAATTAAAATTTTTTAAGTTCTTAGACCACTTTCATTCTGTGTCAGAAACCTATGCTGTGTCAAATATTTAATTACAATCCAAATTCAGTGCTGTATCAAGCTTGAATGTTGTGTCCATACTTGCCCCAACTGTTCAGGGTTCGACCTCTGCGGTCGTATCAAGCTGCGCCCCAGTGGAGCATTTTATTGTCTTTTTTTATAATACTATATGCAATAGGTCAACTTTATTTGGTGTATGGAAATATTTTACGATGTACATGTCAGTCTGGCAGTTTTTATACGCCCGTTTATGGGATGTATTATGGTATACCGTTGTCCGTCCGTCGTCAACATGTCTGACATTAATTCAAAAACGCTTCAACCAATTTGCATAAAACTTTGTTGAATTGTTCACATCTATTGATGTGAGTTCCCTTTTATTTTTTATAAAATTTAGATTTTACGTTTATGAGTTATGGGGTTTTATTCATTAAAAAAGAGGGGATTTTCCAGTATTCTGACAATAACTCGAAAAAAGCTTTCACCAATTTGCAAGAAACTTTGGTCAATTGTTTATATCTATTGACATGAGGTCCTTGTTGATTTTTATAAATTTTAGATTTTATGTTTCCGAGTTATGGAGTTTTATTCATTAAAGAAAAAGGGGGATTTTCCAGTTTTCGGACAATAACTCAAAAATGATTTCAGCAGTTCTCATGAAACTTTGGAGAATTGTTTATGACTATTGATGTAAGCTCCCTTTTTTTTTTTATAATTTTTAGATTTTACACTTCCTAGTTATGGGATTTTATTCATAAAAAAGGGGTGATTTTCTAGTTTTCGGACTATACCTTTCAAGTGCTTTGAGCAGTTTTCATTAAACTTTGGTGACTGGTTTATATCAATTAAGATAACCTCCCTTTAGTTTTTCACAAATTTATGATATGACATTGAGAAGTTATTGAACTTTATTTGTAAAAAATGTGACGGGCGTATCATGCACTCATGGCGCAGCTGTTTATTATTCAACCTTGACCTTACTTTCACAGTTCATTGCTCAGTGTTAAGTTTTTGTGTTTTGGTCTGTTTTTCTTAAACTATAAGCAATAGGTCAACTATATTTGGTGTAGGGAAGTTATTGTTCTTGATTTCTTTAAGAATGACATTTTTAAATGTTTGAAAAACCAACTATGCTGTCATTTTGACAGCCTCTTGCTTCTGTTGAAATTTATGTGAAATCTATGATGTACCTCCATTCAGGAAAGGATATTTTTCATTTACAAATGTTTGGTAACATATAATTATTATGCTATACTAGCTTTAATAAACCTAAGGTACTTATGAAAATCAGGGGCTCTTTTCACTTACGACAAAAATTAATTGTAAGTAATTAGTTATACTGAAATGTAGATGACTTACAAGACTTAGTATTTTTATTGTAAGATTGTTTTGTAAAATGAGTTGCAGGGTCCTATTATACTGTGTGTAGCTAATTACAGGTACTATCCACTAATATATATTTGATAAAGTTACCATTGTCAACTGATGATGATAATGCACTGTTAATATGCTGCCCTTGATGTAGTCCTTTTTCCAGCAAATGACTTGTATACACTTCAAAGCCTCATCATAAGACTACTTTACCTTGTATAAATTTAATCTTAAAGATGAGCATTAAGTGATTCCATTCTTTACATTATATGATTTAAAGCTTAAGACAAGTATCCATTATGGTTTCTGAAAAGATGATAGGTGTAATTAAAATGTTCACTGAAATTACTAGTATTAATTCCAGCTTTACCTCAGGATTGATGATTGTAAGGTGTATATGTCTGTCTGGCAGGTATCATCTGACCTTGACCTCATTTTCATGGTTCATTGGTCAATGTTAAGTTTTCATGGTTCAGTTTGTTTCTTTGATACTATAAGCAATAGGTCAGCTATAGTTAATGCATAGATTGATTGTAAGGTGTACATGTCTGTTTGGCATGGTTCATCTGACCTTGACCTGATTTACATGGTTCATTGGTCAATGTTGAGTTTTCTTGGTTAAGTTTGTTTCTTAGAAACTACTGTGGATTCATTATTATTCGTTGGATACCAATTTTCGTTGATTTCGTGGGTACAGGTGAACCACGAAATTAAATGATCAACGAATACCAAATTTTCTATAGGCTTGTATGCATACTTCGGCAAAACCATGAAATTAAATATCCACGAACATGTATGTTTTCCTTTATCCACGAAAATTGGTACCCACGAAAATAAATGAATCCACAGTATAAGCAATATGTCAACTACATTTGGTGTATGGAATGATTGTAAGGTGTACATGAATTTCTGGTTTGTGTTTATCTGACCTTTACCTCATTTTCTTAGATCATGTTAAGTTTATGTGATACTTGTAGTAAAGCTTTATATTAAGGACTATCAACATAAAATCAATGGTCAGTAAAGCAGGTGAGACATTTCAGTGTGTGCGCTCTTTTTGATTTTGGGCCCAGTTTTCAAGTTGGTTCAAAGGGTCCAAAATAAAACTTAAATTGATTTTAACAAAAAATTTAATTCTTTGGGTTCTTTGATATGCTGAATCTAAACATGTATTTAGATTTTTAATTTTAGACCCCGTTTTCAAATTGGTCCACATTAAGGTCCAAATGGTCAAAAATAAAACTTAAGTTTGATTTTAACAAAAAATGAATTCTTGTGGTTCTTTGATATGCTGAATGTAAACATGTATTTAGATTGTTGTTTTTGGGCCCAGTTTTCAAGTTTGTCCAAAATTCCTGTTGGAATAAATATTCTATACCCTTTATTCTGTCAGGAACAACTATTGTGATATTTTTTTCATTGGAACTAATATTCCAGAATACTTATTCCATTGTGAACTAACATGATTTAATTTTGGACCCTGCTTTGGACCAACTTGAAAACTGGGCCCAAAAATCTAATATTTAAATACAGGTTTAGATTCAGAATTTGAAAGAACCCTATATATATTTAATTTATGTTGAAATGAAACACAGGTTAATTTTATCCATAATATTTTCTGTGCAAAGGGAAATAACTCAAACTGGATAAATAGTTCTCTAAAATAAGATGTGATGCAATTTTTCAAATTATAATCAATAATATAATAACAACAACCAGTGATGACTAAGTTCTCTAAAATTAGATATGATTTAACACTCAAACATTGTTACAATCAGCATATCAAAGAACCAAAGAATTCAATTTTTGATGAAATTAATCAAAAGTGTAATTTAGGACCCTTTGGACCTCAATGTGGTATTATCTTATTAATAATGAAAAGAAATACAGGTTTAGATTAAGCATTTCAAAGAACTCTATATATATTCAATTTATGTTGAAATCAAACACAGTTTAATTTTGGACCAACTTGAAAAATGGGCCCAAAATCAGAAATCTAAATATATGTTTATTAATAGACAATATAAGCTTAGTTTTATAGGAGTTTACTACATCAAAAAAAATATATAGCATTCAGAAAATTTATTTTTTACAGAATAACAAACAAACTTGCCACAAAATTCTACAAACAATTTACCAAAGAAAAGAAGAAAAAATCCAAACTTTTATTTATCATTAATACAATGTCATTTAAAATCTATAAAACTTATCAGTAACAAGAAATAGTTGTAACAGAATGCTGTTACGAAGTCTCCCAAACAAAGCTCCAATAATTTGTCATTCCCGCTTGACATTGGGCAATGTCCAGTACAAATTGGTTTATGATGTGCATTAGTGAAGCCTATGGATTGACCCTGTATGTCATTCAAATCTTCTTGAAATTATGAAACAGGAATTTATATGGTTTAGGGGTGGAGATCTCGACTGTTTTCAAGTTCTCAAAAGGGGGGGGGGGATCCCCAGGGGACTCTCCCTTTATTTCATATGATTTGTTTTTTTGTCCCTTACAAGAATATATATGGTTTAGGGGTGGGGATCTCGACCGTTTACAAGTTTTTAAACAGGAGGGGGTGGGGGTGACCCCAGGGGACTCGCCTTATATTTAATTTGATTTGTTTAATGGTCCCATACAAGGATATATATGGTTTCGGCGTGGGGATCTTCACCGTTTACAGGCTTTCAAAAAGAAGGGGGGTGGGGGTTACCCCAGGGGATTTCCCCTTAATTTCCTTTTGATTTGTTTTATTGTCCCATTCAAGAATATATATGGTTTAGGGGTGGGGATCTCAACCATTTACAAGTTATCAAAAAGAAGGGGGTGGGGTGACCCCCATGGACTTCCCCAATATTTCATTTGATTTGTTTTATTGTCCCATACAAGAATATATATGGTTTAGGGGTAGGGATCTCGACCGTTTACAAGTTCTCAAACAGGATGGGGTGGGGTGACCCCAGGGGACTCACCTTTAATTTCATATGATTTGTTTTATTGTCCTATTAAAAAATATATATGGTTTAGGGGTGGAGATCTCGACTGTTTACAAGTTATCAAAAAGAAGGGGGTGGGGTGACCCCCATGGACTTCCCCTATATTTCATTTGATTTGTTTAATTGTCCCATACAAAAATATATGGTTTAGGGGTGGGGATCTGGACCGTTTACAAGTTCTTAAACAGGAGGGGGTGGGGGTGACCCCAGGGGACTCGCCTTATATTTCATTTCATTTGTTTTATTGTCCCATACA